CAGCGGCAAAAATGGCCGCCGGAAGCCCGGAAATGGCCCAAAATGGCTGCGCGCAGCGTTTTCGCGCCCTCGTTAAGCGAGGGGAGGGCGCGAAAATGGCTGCCAGCCATTAAGAAGCATCGCTGAACGGTGAGTATTCGGCCCATTTGGAACGAATTAAACCATGTTTAATGCGTTCCACTGGATTTCCCTGCTCCGTTCAACGATGCTTCAGCATAGCGAAGGTTAATCCGGAACGGATTAACCTCGCTATGCGAGGCACCACTGTATCTGTAATTAATAAACCTGTTTTAAGAAAAAAAGTGAAAACTGAATGGACTTTCATCTTTCCTAAGTAAAGTACATTGATTTAGTGATCAACTGGTGGCAGTGTGTGAAAAGGTGTTTGGTTTGCCTTCGTGTGCTCTGTGTTTGGAAGAGAAACAGGGGCAAACGTCACAGAGGGGAACCTAACACCTCCACCCCCTCTGCTGTGTGCCTGCCCCTTTCCTGGTCCTGCTGCCTCCTGCTCTTCCTCCTCCTCTGCTGCTGCCATATTCAGAGACAGTGTCCCAGCTTCCCTTTTGGGAGCCCTCTGCGCATGCACCTACCTATCACCTGATAGCCTGGCACGTGCACAGAGATAGCGGCCCAGTTCATGGGGAAGGGAAGCCAGGCTGGCGCTCTCTGCATTTCCACAGCTATCAGCTGGTAGGCGGGTGCAGGTGCAGAGACAGCAGGCCCAGCTCTCAGAAGGGAAGGCGGGGGGCTGTCTCTGAAGATAGTGGTGGCGGAGGAGGAGGAGGAGGAGAAGGTAGGATCGGACAAGGAGGTGAAGGGGGCAGGGGCATCCGTTTTTCCAAAGCAGAATGAAGCAATGAATGGAAAAACGTTTCGCCAAAATGGTTTGCATGTGTGCATTAATATTTGACACTGGCTAAAATCCTGTTGGAGTTCTCTGTGTGCAATGGTGATGTTGTCATCAACAGCATCAAATAATAATCTTAGAACTGCAAAGCTGGAAGAGATCCTATGGATCATTGAGTCCAGCCCCTGTCAAGGAAGCTCAGTGGCAAATTGAACTCCCAACCTCTGGCTCCACAGCCAGATGCTTAAACCACTGAGCTATCCAGCAGTTCCATCACTGCTGGCTAAGGATTCTTTGGAGTGCACATGACTTCGTTGTAATGTGTACTAGGCAAGTGCACCCCAAAATAAGCTTTAATCAGTGGTGATTTGCCACTGATGATTGCATCATCTCTGTTGCACATATGAAGCTGCGCAACAGGATTTCAGTCAATATGGTAGGAAAAGAAAGTAGAAAAATAGTTAAGTCTGCATTGGCTCAAAGCTGGAAAAAGAAAAGCCCTTGGTGGAAGAGTGATACAGCAGGGGTCATCAGCCCCCAGTGCTCGTCTGTGGGCTTGCTGGAACTGGGCAGGGGATATGGATCTCTGCCCCCCCCCATGCACGTGTGGTGGGCATGTCATGCTCACGGGGGCGTGTCACATTCGGGAGAGTGTGTCATGCCTCCTGCGAGCACGACACCCCTGCGAGCGTGATACACCTACCACGCTCGTGTGGGGGTGCCCCCATCCCCCACATGGAGCTCGCTCCCCCAGCTGGTCCACGGCCCCAAAAAGTTTGGGGATCTCTGTGATACAGGATCTTCTGTTTACAATGTTAATGTAACCAATTATAAGACTTATGTATCTTTGGAACAGTTGAAACTGTTACTTTGCTAGTACCGTAGTAAGTGAGCTATCCATTGCTTGTTGGATTAAAATGAAGCCAGTTTAATGCTACATCACATCACAGAAATTTTGCTTTTGAATAAGTAATGAATAACATAAGAAGTAAAGGTGAAAGTAGGCACTGAAGACTGGCCTTTCGTATTTAAAAAATGCTAAACATTCATAGGGTACGCTGCAGTTTGAAATCATTCAAAAATGGTTTGGTATGTTCACCACAATTACACTAAAATTTCTTTTGTGTTGATTATTTTGCATAAGTGATCATTTTCCTCCAAAACTTACTTTAATGGGGATTTTATATATAAAATTTTAAAGGGAATTGTCTAGTTTTAGAATTGTTAAATCCCATTGGTTTTAGAAGCAGAAGATATGGAACATTCAACATTCCAATTAAAATTTGATGGTCATCAAAGTGTATAATAACATTTCAGTGGGACTTAATTCCAATTGTATTAGTTCACAGCTTAGCTTTGGTTAGATTATGCTCTTGTTTTAGGGTATGATAATATGCAATTTATGTCTTCTCAAGGAGACAGATTATTCTTGGAGTAGAATTTTAAAACAGGTTTCTTTTCTTGGAAAGGATGGAAAGAAGATTCACAGGATCATACTAGATACAAGTCTATACCATTCACACAATAAACAATGTCACAACATCATATTGTATTAAAACTACAGAATAATAGAATTTCATGTAACTATGAAATATATAAAAAAAGGTCAGAAAATGTATCTTGAATGATATAAGTTATTGATAGGCAATAGTTACAATAAGTATTCTATTCTCATGCAAACTAGTTACCTTTCTGTAGTTTCAGCCTATGTGAATTAAGATTTGTGTGACTGGAATATGTAATAAGTTCTTTCCTTTCTATCTCTTTTTTTTACAACACTGTTCAGCCATTGTAGATACAGTAGGGCCACCATATTCATGGGACTGGTACCTGTGGTGTCATTCATCCATTGCCTGAAAAAATTAAATAAAACCCTCCCAGAAATATGTATTTCCATGGTGTGTTACCAGAACTGGCCACTAGAGGGAACCGGTATACAGTGGGGTCTTGACTTGAGAACTTAATCCGTATTGGAAGGGGGTTCTCAAGTCAAAAAGTCTGTAAGTCAAGTCTCCATTGACCTACAGTGCATTGAAAACCGATTAATCCCATAACAGGCCGTTTTTGTTCCATTTTGGTTTTTTTTCTGGTCTGTAAGTCAAATCTCAGTCTGCAAGTCAAACCTAAATTTTGCGGCCAGAGAAGTCTGTAACTCAAAAAGTCTGTAAGTCAAGCCATCTGTAAGTCAAGGGTCCACTGTATAGGGTTTACTACATGGTGCCCCGCTTGAGGACGATAATCTGTTCCAGCAAAATTGCTGTAGAACAAAATTGTCATCAAGCGGGGGGAAAACCCATTAAAACGCATTAAAAACTGGTTAATGCGTTCCAGTGGGTGAAATACCTCATCCTCCAGCGAATATCCTCCATAGAGCGGCCATTTTCCGGTGCCTGTAAAGCGAAAAATCAGTCCTGAAAACAGCAGGGAGCCATTTTGCACAGTGGGCAGCCAATTTGAAACCCGACCATCAGCTGTTTTTAGATCATCGTAAAGTAAAAAATCGGTTCCCGAAGCAGGGAACAGATCATCGTCAAGTGTTTTTTCCTATTTAAACATCGTTTTGCGATCGCAAAAGCGTTCGCAAAAACATTGTCGTAAAGCGGATTCGTCGTGGAGCGGGGTAATTGTTAAGTGGGGCACCATTGTATTTTTATGTAAGCTTTCATGAAACAAACCCACTTGTTCAGACATAAGAATACAGAACACAGAGACTACATGGTGAAGCCTTCGGGCAGAGCTCTAAGATAAAGGGATAGGGGTGTTTGTTTGCATTTCACACCTAGTCATGATTCCTGTGGCATAATCCACATATGAAAACCTAGAGTTTCATGTAAACCACTTAGAGTTGTTGTGGGTTTCTCAGGCTCTTTGGCCGTGTTCTGAAGGTTGTACTTCCTAACGTTTCGCCAGTCTCTGTGGCCGGCATCTTCAGAGAACAGCACTCTGTTCTGCTGTCCACCAGAGCACAAAATGCTGTCCTCTGAAGATGCCAGCCACCAGAGACTGGCAAAACATTAGGAAGAACAACCTTCAGAACACGGCCAAAGAGCCCGAAAAACCCACAACAACCATTAGATCCCAGCTGTGAAACCCTTCGCAAATACAAACTACTTAGAGCTTTGTAAACAGAATCAGAATAGAAGTTTAATAAAACTATGTCAGTGTGTACAAAAGGGTATTGTGTTTTCTCGAAAATAAGACAGGGTCTTATATTAAGTTTTGCTCCAAAAATGCATCAGGGCTTATTTTCAGGGGATGTCTTATTTTTTCCATGTACAACAATCTACATTTATCCATGTACAACAATCTACAGTCACATCTTCTGTTTGCTGCACAATGGTGGAGGGCAGGGTTTCCACTTAACTGGGGCTTATTTTTGGGGTAGGGCTTATATTATGAGCATCCTGAAAAATCATACTAGGTCTTATTTTCAGGTTATGTCTTATTTTCAGGGAAACAGGGTAAGTAGAAGTGGGATTGGTAAAATCTGACCTTTGCTAATGGCAAGTACAAGCAAATGTCATTATTTTCTTGTATCTGTTTTACATCTTCAGATCAAAAATATGCCTTCCATACCTGAGAAAAAGCAAGATCGGTCATATTCTTAATATCAGCCCACCGATAAATTTAAATCCAATATGGTTCAAAAATCATTGTGGTAAGTGTACTCTGGGTGCTACCTGGTGTGAAAACTCTCTGAAACTCAAGGAAGTGTAATGATTGGTATTTCTCCAAAGGTTGGTGTAAATCTGTCTTAAATTCAGACCTTGGAATGGATGTGTTTAGATGGCACCTTCTAGCACACCCTAGCCAGCACAATATTATTGGAATTGTTGGCCTTGCCCCGCCAAAAAAGTTTCCCAAGCTTTGCTCAAATTGTTACACCTTGTGTTCTCGTCAGTAGTTCCCCTTTGTTGTTTAGTTATTAAGTCATGTCTGACTCTTCGTGACCCCATGGACCAGAGCACGTCAGACCCTCTGTTTTCCACTGCCTCCCAGAGTTTGGTCAAATTCATATCGGTAGCTTCGATGACACTGTCCAACCATCTCGTCCTCTATCATCCCCTTCTCCTCTTGCCTTCACACTTTCTCAGCATCAGGGGCTTTTCTAGGGAATCTTCTCTTCTCATGAGATGGCCAAAGTATTGGAGCCTCAGCTTCAGGATCTGTCCTTCCAGTGAGCACTCGGGGTTGATTTCCTTCAGAATGGAGAGGTTTGTTCTCCTTGCAGTCCAGGGGACTCTCAAGAGCCTCCTCAGGAACCACAATTCAAAAGCATCCATTCTTTGGCGCTCAGCCTTCTTTATGGTCCAGCTCTCACTTCCATGTAGTTCCCCTACTTCAACCCAAATGTGGAGTGGAAGTTGGGGGAGGTCTGCTCCCTCACATGCTCTAGAAGTTACTTTAAAATAGCTAGACTTTACTACTTTTGCACGGAGTTTGTATGTTTATGTTTCTGGGGAAACATCAAAACTTTGAGCCCCTTTTAGGCACACAGATAGCTCCAAGTCTCCCTGCAAGCTTGCCCCAAGAATGAATCATATCATCATGTGCCGTTCCCTGAAAGGAGTTCTTACAATGTAAATGGCAGCCAAGGGTAAAAACCGAATTCCGGTTACTTCATGGAATGGCCTGTGTCACTCCTCTGGCCCCTGAAATTATTTTGTAAATGTAACTTGATTTTTTGAATTAATTTCATATAGTTCCTTCTTAGAAATTTGGGGGTTCTGGCTTTGACATATTACTAATACCATGTTAGTGTCATTCTGGGAATGCTTGTACTATGGTGGGTCCATGCTATAGCAACAGTATATTTCTTTTGCTTTTGTGACTAATCTCCCCCCCATCCTAAGTTCTAGGATTTCACATGTCTCTTCAATGGCCCTCCCTTATAGAATGTGAAAAGGAATTGTTCTCAAGTACTTTATTTTTTCTATGTATATACATCTTTTGTTTCGATCAGCTAAAGGCAATATACTTTCGTCCCCCTCCTCCTTCCATCCATGTTTATCTTCACAGCAGCCTTTGAGGTAGGTTAGACTGAAAGATAATGACTGGCCCAAGGTTAAGCACTGCTCCTTACGAAAAGCTAAGGATTTGAACCCTGGCCTCATAAGTCCTACTCTAGCATTCTAACCTGTACCTCAGATTGCTGGTTGGCCATGGCATTTGCTTGCTTTTTAACGTGTAAACCTTCAAAGCAGCCTGTAACAATTATAATAATTGAAGTTACAATGCAAGATAGTCAAGTCCTATGTATCTCCTATAAACCTCTTTTCTTTCCATACTTCTGCCAAGCTTGAGATGTTGGCCACCCCTTATGCATGGAATTTAGTATACAGTGTGTTGTTGATTGCATTAGTAGTCCATAAAGTCACCCATGTGATTTAACTTCCTAATTGAAAGGTCAGAAGAGAGGGATGCCCTTTTTCATGTGTGGAATGACTTGACAGATATGCCATAGTACTGCAGTTTCTTATATGCCCAAGAGGTATACCAAAATCAACTCAACTGACCGTGTAATAAGGAATATCTAATTGTTTTTCATGCACATATGAAGTTGACTTGGTTGTCCTTTTAATGTCACTTGCAATGACAAATGGCAAACAGTGTTTAAGGTCAGGATTGTCTGCCATTGTATTTCATCCTTGCACTGTTCTAGAAGGCCCTGGAACCAACATTGTCAGAGTATTTCTAAGTCTAAGGCTGGTGGCACAAAAAGTTACAATAGGGAGCCGATGGAGGTGTTGTATGTCTGTATATATCTAGCACCTGTAGTAAATTGGACTAGTTCCAGTCTTGCTGCTTGCCAAAAGCTGTTGTGTTTGGTAAATGTAGGCCTAACCTATACTAGCCAGTCCATTCCCTGCCTCCTCCATAATTTACACTAACAGAATAAGTGCCCTCCATCATAGTGGCATTTTAAATTGCTAAATCTTGCCTTGCCTTTTCCTCACGGTGCAATTTCTCCCCCTGTGGTAAATAATCTGTAGTGCTTGTACATAAGGAGAAGTAAATAAAACATTTAAAGTATTTTCTATTGTATTCAATGACTAAATTTATGCTCTTTTTTTTTAGCTTATACCATTTCTAAATATGGAATGTCCATGTGTGTGCTGGGAATGTCAGAAGAATTTAAAGGAGAAGTTGCCGTCAATGCTTTATGGCCACAAACAGGTTTTTATTTCATTTTTAAAGATTATAAATATTACTGTTTAACTTCATTTTTTTAAAGATTAATGATTTGTTGATAAAATGTGTGCACTTTAAAATGTATGAACGGATTATATGAACTATGAATTATATGAGGAAGAGTATGTAGCATACTTTCTCATCAGGCCTAAGAGAATGCAAATGTAATTTCTATACATTGCTTTTATAGAAATCAAAATGTTGCTACGTTTTCTCTCAAGATCTTATCAAAATCTGATATTTCTTTTGCCTCTTGCTGAGTATTTCCATTGAGAGCAACTTCATTTCACATTGTATTAAAATTTAGTATCATATTGTTGAAATATGCTTGTACTGTAGGCTATTTGGCAATACAAGAAAATAATTACTAACAAATTCTTATTCCTTTCTTTGTCTACACTTTGTTTCCATAGCTATCTATACCTCTGCAATGGATATGCTGGGAGGTGCTGGTGTGGAGAAGCAATGCAGGAAAACAGACATTCTGGCAGATGCTGCATACTGTATTTTAACCAAGCCCAAAAATTATACTGGAAACTTTGTTATTGATGAAAAATTGCTGAGGGAAGAAGGAATTACGAATTTTGATGCATATGCAGTTGCCCCAGGTAATGCTGGTTTAATTTGTCTATGCAGTGGGTAGAATCCAGAGTAAATCCACTCAGATCAGTGGGATTTAGGTTACTCGTGATAAATCTGGGTGATTGCAACAGTCTTCCTCTACATCAGACTTTGATGTATTTGTTAAACCAGATTGGTAGTATTTCCAGATAGCAAATTTATGGACCTTGATTGTTTTATTTGCAGTGCACACTTGACATGTCTTCCATAGTGGCAGTTCGGGGGTGGTGGTAATGTGCTTTTTTGTAGAATGCAGCGTTCTATAATTCTGCAAAAAACGTTGTTCTTCTGTTTTCTTCAACTCTGCCAACCGGAAGTGTATTTCTTCCTGGTCAGTGGTTATCCTGTGTGGAATGTGAGTCTTCAAGGGAATCCTTATGTAAGCAGGCTGTACAGGGGCAAGTTTCAGCCATAGAAATGTCTGAAGATGCCTAGTGCTAAATCAGACCATTGGCCAGTCTAGTTTAGTATTAGATACGGAATTGGTAGCGGTTCTCCAAGGTCTCAGGCAAGCCTCGGTAGGTGCCCTGTGGATGAGAGGAAAGTACAGTATGTGTGTGACACAGGGTGGGCTTGCCAATGTGGAAAGCCCGGCACCTTCAGGGCCTGCCCTCGTGCACTGCTGAGGGCTTGTTTAGCAAATGCCCTGGGTCTCTGCAACACCGTTCCTTCTGCAGAGTCACACTTCTGTCCCGTCCCGCTGCGGCCCTTTGTCGCTGCTGCCGCTGCACCTGCTGGACTAGAGGCAGAGTGGAGGAAGCTGTCTCTTTGCCTGTCCTTCTACGCAGCCTCCTCTCCTTCCTTCCTTCCTTTCTTCCTTCGGAAGCTGCCTCTTTGCCTGTCCTTCTATGCAGCCTTCTCTCCTTCCTTTCTTCCTTCGCCTTCTCTGCAATCCAGGCAGCCACAACCTCATGTCCCTCCCAACTGGGTCATTTCCCTCCCTTCGTTATTTTCCCACACATTTCCCTTTCTCTTCCTGCACCTTTCTCTCTCCCTCTCCTACCCACCCATCAAATCTCCATCACAACCCTTTTCTTTCCTCCCTCCCCAAATCCTATCTCTCGCTGGCCACATTCTGCTCATCCTCACCCACTCACTCACCTTTTTCAGCTGGCAAACCACCTCCTTTCCTCTCCATTCATTCTCTTGCCACCATCCCCCCCTCTTTTTCTTTGCCTCGCAGCTCCTTCCCTCCTTCTCCCCAACTGAGCCCCTTAACAGGCCACTGGGTACAGCTCCCCAATATGATAGCTTGAATGTGGGGGGAAGGGAGGGGGAAGCCCAGCCTGGGTAGTACTTTGTTACATTCTGTAATTATAATGGGTAGTACTTTGTTATATTCTGTAATTATAAATTATTTTTTGGGGGTGGGAGATGGAAGTGCTACTCAGGCTGGGCTTTTTTTTAGGGGGGGGAGATGGAAGTGCTACTCAGGCTGGGCTTCCCCCTCTTCTCCCCCCACAAGTGTTGTATTGGAGAGCCGTGGCCAGTAAGTCAATGAGCAGTGAGTGGAAACAGTTTTGGAACCACTGCTGTAGATCAAATGGATTGTTCAAAAGTCAAGCCTTTAAATAAACGTTTTTAAAGAAGAATGGAGATATATGTGGACATATGATTTTCATATGTTCTATGCTTTCTGTCACTATCAGTTGCAACAGCAGCTAAAAACTGGATGTATCTTAACTCTGTTTAATGCATTACATGGTACATAAGCGACTGGATGTATCTTAACTCTGTTTTAAATCTGTTTAATGCATTACATGGTACATAAGCTAACTTATGTTTCCTAATGTAAGCGATTTTATAATTTTAGGACATCCTTTGCTACCAGATTTCTTCTTAGATGTGGATCCTGAATCATTAGCAATGACAATGGAAGCCCAAGGTGAGGACATGCTTGCTTTCCTCCCCTCCCCACCACCAACCACCATTTGTGGCCCTGTTAAACTATCTTGCCCTCCACCACAGCCGGCTGCCATGCAAGCCAAAATAGCCAATGTACTCATTTCTGATTTGGGGAAGGCTTTCAGCATCAGGAGTCTGAGTCACAATTACAGATGCTGAATGTTTAGTGCAGATCCTGCAGCAGGGAAATTCCAGCAACAACTCTATATAAAAATGCAGGATTGAATAGGGATGGGTTTTTCTTTTTAATTTTCTGAACTATAAAGACCATAATTCTCCATTCTAGGAGATCTGCCTACCTTACAGGCACCTTGCAAACATAAGAATGTGATGCACCCACAAGAAGGCTTTGAGGCTTAGCTAGGGCAAGCTCTGCCCAAGCTTCCTGCTCAGAACGAAACCTTCCATTCTAGCACTGGGGCAGGAATGGGACTTTTGCCTCCCATCTAGCACTGGGGCAGGAATGGGACTTTTGGCCCTGGTAAGCCTGAGAGCCTTCTAGTTTAGATCTTTCTCCCAGGTGCATCATATGGAGGTGTTTTAAAGATGCCTGCAAGGTAGGTAGAACTCCCAGAATGGAGGATTATGGTGTTTCTAGTCTGGAATATCTCAAAATCCCATCCATAGAATTGATTTTGAACAATGATCTGTAATTTAACAGCCACAAATTTGTAATTGCCCAAGAACACCTTCCCATCTTTTTACCTTTAAGTTAATATTCTTCCAAAAAATAAAATGATGTCTTGTGGCTTTTCTTCTTTATCTGCAAAATCAGCTCCAGATTTGACCATCTGGTAATCTATGAGATGACTGATATATGCAATTAAATTTCTCTTCTCCTGGAACTTGTTCACCTGTAAACATCAAGGAAATACTGACACCCCCCCCCTTTTGCCATGGATTGATCTTGAGAACATCTATCTGCAAAGGCCATGTACTCCCACCAAGCTGTGGCCCCTTGATCCGAATGCCCCAGTGCCTTAGTTTTTGTAATTGCTTATTATTTCTTGTTCCATATAAGTTACTGAGCACAGATATGAATTTCAGGAGAAATGTTACTGAAAGTGCAACTCGGAACAGAAACTCCCACCAAGCTGTGGCCCCTTGATCCAGCATGTCCCCCACCTTAGTTTTTGTAATTGCTTATTATTTCTTGTTCCATATAAGTTACTGAGCACAGATATGAATTTCAGGAGAAATGTTACTGAAAGTGCAACTCGGAACAGATCCGTCTGAGAGAATTTGAGCTGTTGCTTATTTTTCTCTCAGATTTAGAGCACCATTTCTCTGCAGCTCAGTAATAGATGGCTTTGGCATGCCATTGCATTCATTCATCTTGAAGGTAACGTTCCAGAGTCTCTTTGAAGTACTAAATCCTGAATATGTACTGACTGTAGTAATCAACATTGGCCCAACAGGAGCCTCTCCAACATTCAGAGAAGGGAAAAAGCAAGATGTAGTCAAGAATAAAGTTCCTGACAAAACCAAGGCAGAAGGTCCTGATGGAGCCAAACCTGGTGTTCATTTTGCTGCAGAAAGCGCTACAGGGCCTGTGACCCAAACATTTAAAATTATAAAAGGAGCAATTACTGAAGATGTTGTAAAGTCAACCCAAGGACTTTATCGATTTGAATTATCTGGTAAGAGTCTTACATTCAGGAGTTAACTACCATTCTCTCAGGCAGACCAAGAAGCTCTGTTATCTTAGGTGCCATCAAGTCCTGATCACGCAGGAAAAATGTGTGCAATCCTGTGGGTTTAAGGTGGGTTGCTTCATATTTTTTCCATTGATTCCATGATGCAGTGGGAAATACAAATCAGCCCAAAGTCCCATGCCCCCCATGGCCTAGTTTTTCCTTCCCCCTCGCCTCTTGCCTCCCAAGGGAGGATGAGGAGGGAGTGCATAGGCCAGCACTCCCCTCTCTCTGTAAAGTCCCTCTTCCAAGACAGTTCTTTCAAAAACTGCTTCTTCTTTCTGAGTGGGCAGACCTGCTGTTTATTTGTTGTTGCTTTTCTTTGTGTACAGTTTAACAAACTGTCCCATTTGCAAGATCAGATGAGGAAATAGTCTTTGGGGCAGGAAAGCCGCCTTAAGGCAGTTCTTTTGAAATGTGCCACCTGCAGGCACTTCAAATGGAACTTACCCTGAAAACAAAACTGGTGTGGTCACTTCTGTCAAAGAGAACTGAATGCCCCAGTGTGACTTCACAGGAGGAGAATATGAGTGAATTTGCATTTCCCTCACTGTGTAGTTTTATTCTTACAGCAACCCTTAATAGGGGTTTCAAGGTATTGTATTTGAAATATTTAATAGGTGGTTTCCAGAGCAACCCTTAATAGGGTTTTCAAGGTATTTGAAATATTTAATAGGTGGTTTCCAAGTTCTACCCCCACCTCCCAGTGAGTTCCCATGGTTGATTGGAGGTTTAAATTCAGTTTTCCTGAGTTCTAGTCCGACACGGTCCATGACACCACACCAGCTTATAATAAGTGTGTGCCACCAGGTGGGTCCTGTCTTAATGATGACCTTTTCCAGGGTTTCCTAAGTACAAAGAACTCAGATGTGATTTACCGCTGCTGCCTTTTGGAATGTTCTGGGGCCATGTGGCTTGCCCCATGCTGCCTCTTCTTCTGATCTTTGGCACTACAGCCAGGTACCCCAACTCACTGAGCTATCTAGCCAGCCATCTAGCATATCTAGTCAGTATTCAGTGGAGCACAATATTTGTGATTTCCAAAAAAGATACAAAGCATCCTCACAATGATTCAGATCTCACCTCAGCAGGAAACGTACTGGGTGGCCTTTGGCAAATCACTGTCCCCCGGTATCCGTCCTGTAGCAGTAATAGGTAATTATATTAACCTTCTTTACAAGGTGTTGTGATTCTACATTGTATGCGTCTTGTATGTAGGTATGAATTAGTATGCCTCATGAGTGACTGGGTTTTGATTGGCTATGGTAACTTAGATGTGTGCCAGGAAAGTCTATTAAAATGATTGATAGGCGGATATGGAATATGTGTGAATAGAACTGTGTGCCGATTGGCTGGTACGTTGCCTGGCTGTAGAGCAGTTATATGAGGTATAAGGAGTGGGTATGAGAGAGAAAGAACAGTTAAGTTTAAGTTTGGGTTAGAGTCAGAAAAAGCCATTATTAAGATGGGAGTTCAGATCTGAAGCTGTGAAGAGTGAAGTCAGAATCTGAGAGAGACTGGAAGAAGTTAAGTAAAAGAGTGAGAGCTATGATGCTGTTTTTAAGAGCTGTGTTGGGGGCTATCTTTTTGTGTGTGAAGAAGCTATGAAAAAAGTAGTGCATTTTTCACTGGAACTTGGATAACAACTAACATCCATCAATAAAAATATAGAGAACACTGCAGGCTGAAACTATAGCGTAGGAGAGAAGTAAAGTAAATAGCTTGTAATGTTAAACTTATTTGTGTGTGTCTGTGTGTATTTAAATAAACATCTGTTTGGTATACAAATCCTGTTCATTATGTCTGAAAATAACATTCACACGATATAGTTGTAGAAAGGGTAGCCTTGTTAGTCGGGCCAGGCATTATAGGTAAAGGCAAAATAGAAATAAAAAGTAAAAAAAAAGACAAAAAGTGGTGGTGCCTTAAAGACTTTTATATATATATTTTAACATGAGTTTTTGTGGACAATATAAGCTATTACATATATTATGCAGACAGCTGGCCAGCACTAGGACACATAATCAAGGTTGTGCCACCAAAAGAGCAGTGTAAATTCACCTCTTCTCTGTGGTAGTGTTTAAACAGCAGTGAAAATGGAACACTATTCGCAGCTGTTTGCCTGCTTTGAGAATAAGAATAATTCAGGGCAAATGGACTGTATTACAGGATAAACTCAAACCTCAGCCTTCAACTTAATGAAGAGTTTAAAGATGATTGTCATTTGGTGGCAGCCCACATTGGGTACAGGAGGGTGGGAAGATTATAATATGTGGGAATTACAGAATTAATGAATATCAAGTAATCCGTACTTTTAAGAAATGTTAGATAGAAATACTATATTTTAGACCCAGATTTAGTTGTGTTTATTTAAAAGACCTGCAGGGCTGGGGGTAGACTTACTGTAAGTCAGCAGTCCCAATAAAGTGATGTTGATTCAAGTTAGTCATGGCTGCCTTAAATCTCACTGATTTCATTGGGACTGATTTAAGCCTAGTTATGCCTAGATGTAAGCAATATGTGTTATACATTTAATCTGGCTTCTGGGTTTTGTTGTATTTTGGCTGTTTTTAGAAGATTCTAGAAACAGTAAGGTAGAAATCTAGGGGCTATTAGGATTGTGGTGTGAAAACTGAATATAGATGAAAGAGATTTGGAGTGGATTTAAGGAATCCCATTTTGAACCAGGATCACATACAGTTTAAACTAAATCAGGATCTTGCACTGTAGCAGTACCCTTTCTTTCTAAACATGTCTCAGTGGAAACAAATCATAAACTTCAATGTTTCTTAACTTGCTGGATTTGTCAATGGAATTGGCATATGACAAATGTACATAATATACTTTCATTGTGTTCCTTTTATATTAGGTGAAGAAGGAGGCACATGGTATATTGATCTTAAAAACAAAGGTGGCAGTGCGGGAAGTGGGGATCCACCTGGAAAAGTAGATGTGGTTATGAGCATGTCTAGCAGTGACTTTGTCAAAATGTTTTCAGGTAGGTTTTGAAAATGTCTTTATCTTGTCTTTCCAGATGCATCTGTGTTCAGTTTGTTCATTTTGGGTTATTTATCAGGGGAGAATTTTAAAGTTCTCAGAGCTGTTTACACTGTTAACTCTTGGAGATGGTGTTGAATTTTATGCTTTAATCTTTATTTTTGCATTCTGCTCTTTGAGAAGCTCAGTGCAGATTACAGCAGAACCTCCCCTACATAATGTGTTATCTATTCTCAAATACTTTTTGTTAAAAAAAATTAGACCAAATTACTCTGATTCCCTTTGCTTCTGTTTGTGAATACTGTAGTACAGATAAGAGGACAAGGAATTATGGCTTTATTTGGAGGGCTAGAAACCCAGGTCTGAATAGTCTTGCATGCGTCTTGTAATAAGGTCACACACAAAGGTGCGATGAGGCTCTTAGCACTTAGCAGTGTGAAGACAGGTGATGAAATTGCTCTGAAGGGTGGGAGAGTTCTCCCAGGATCATTTATTAGAATGAGGGAGCAAAGCACAATCATGTACATGTTTACTCAGAAGTAAGGCTCCAAGTTTTCAGTGGGATTTACTTTCAGGTAAGTATATGTAGTATTGCAAAACCTAAAAGTGCAATTTTAAGCACACTTACATGGAAGTAAGCTTTACTGAATTCAGTGGAACTGATTTCTGATTACATATGCCTAGTATTCTATAACCATTTTTTTTTTGTTTTAGAGTTACTGCACCTATTTTTAAGGCTGGCATTTGTGCAGAACCAGTCATGATAAAACAGGATTATAGTGAGACTCCTTAATGCAAGACCTGAGTTGCTTTATGCGGGCTGAATCTGCTTGTAGATGTCAAGATATGTGGACATAAACTGTGAAAATGATGTCGTTAGATAAAGATCATGTACAACGGTTCTTAACCTGACTTTGGCAGAAAACCATGAGGGCAGGCAGGGGGGTGGTTACGACACCATGGAACTCTCCAAATAAGCCATTTGCCTCTGTAAATTTGGAGGAGGGGAGGGGCTAGTCTTCTCAAGTCCCTCCTCAAAGCATCCTTGTCCCTTAGATTACTCCCCTCTCCTTCCCCTCTTTACAGGGCCTTTCTCCTGGCCTGAAAGGGAAGCACTTCTTTTCTTTGTGACTCCTCAGCTGTCAGGCAAGCATTGCTAGAAGGATGGGAGGGATTTGATTCCTCACATGTGTGAAATTTAGGAGAAGTCATCTGGAAGTGCCCTGGAGTGTGATCAGCTGCCTCAGGTTTTGTATCAGGAACTTGGTTCAGCTTTCTAGCTGGCCAAGTAGTAGTCAGGGACTCAACCCCCTCATCTTCCTCTGTCTCTCTGCCCAGTCAGTTGCTGGAGGCTTTGGGTCATGACATGTACATGACACTGTATGCAATATCTTTAGGAAATACGGCCATAATTCTATGGCCCCGCTGTAGTCTGACTCTGCAACTATTTGCAGAGATGTAAATGGAGTTATATTGTTTTTGAAGGAAAGCAGCAGAAGCTCAAGCTAAGTTGTCCCTGTAATAAAATCACATTTAAATCTAGTTAAGTTGTTAGGTGTTTTTATTAGGATCTCCAAATGGAAGCATAGTTATGTACTGACTATCACATAAAGCCCCATACATTATTGTAGGCTGGTTATGGTCCCTTACATTACTGACCCAGTAGCTAACACTTTTTGTAATATGTATAAGAACTCAGCTAATAAAATTGTCCCTTTAAATGAAGTAGTTCAGCTGTTTATGTTTTATATTTATAACCTGAGAAGATCATATGACCATAATAAAAACTGAATAATGTAAAAGTTTATTCTGAAATCCTTTGAGCATCAACATTGAGTTACATTTCAAGATGGGTGTTATTTCTTCATATTGATATTTCTACAGGTTTCTAATAATGTGGCTATTGGTTTTATACTTCAGCTGTATTTGGTTTTTTATTTGAATTTTACCTGCCTTGAGTGCCATTTTTTGGAAGAAAAGCAGGATATGCATTTAATTTTTAAAAACAAATATTTATTTTAAATAGGTAAGTTGCTTACCAAAAATCTTAGCAGATGCTTGACTATTAAAGACAATAAGAGAATTGCAGGGAGAAGAAGGTTTGCAAGTTTTTAGAATGATTTAAAACATTTTCCTTCTCTTTTCAGGAAAACTAAAGCCAACCATGGCTTTCATGTCTGGAAAGCTGACGATCAAGGGTGACATGGCATTGGCAATCAAGTTAGAAAAACTGATGGGTCAGTTCAGTGCCAAACTATGATGACTGAAGATGGTTTTAAGTGTCACACTGAATGTTCAATAAACATGTGATGCTTTGCTCTTAAAGTTACCAATGCTTGCCTTTTAACATATGATGATGATTTAATACATAATCTCCTAGAAAATGCCATTTCTGACAAGGTGCCATTCTTAACTGAGTTGATATAGCAAGAATTTGTGAGGTCTTCCCTGGAACCCCCTACCTCTTCCCTTTCGACTTCATTACCAGAAAGGGTTGACAAGACTCGGGCTTCAACTCAAATCACTTTATTAATAACAACTGTAATGTATTAACAATGTCATAACTATGGGGAGGATTTTTATAATATACATATCTTATTTTTAAATACAAACTATGTTTGATCTTATGGGTAGGTTTGAACATGTTTATGAGTAATCTGGTGAGAAAAGACAACTGTAATGTGTTAACAATGTCATAACTATGGGGAGGATTTTTATAACATACGTATCTTATTTTTAAATACAAACTATGTTTGATCTTATGGGTAGGTTTGAACATGTTTATGAGTAATCTGGTGAGAAAAGCCAGATTACTCATAAACATGTTTGAACTTGCTTATGGGTTCAAATATAGGTTGCAGAAAGAAAATGTGGAATGTCATAGAAATCCTCCCCCTAGTTATAACAATGCTCTTCCTTCAGAACAGGCTTAATATCTTAAACAACCAGAACTTCCTTTGCTGTTCCCAACCTTGCTTCAGAAGGAAACTGCTCTCCCCATAAGTCATTCATGTTTCCTACTCATACAGGGGTTGAAGTAGGCTCTAGAGAAGGAACACCCTCCCCCCAATATGGAGGCCTTTGTTGTATCTTACTTCTCCTCTCTCTTTTGGGGACTTTCATCTCTCTCCATTCTCCAGTCCATGGATCTACTTTCACTATAACCATACAATCTTCTGCTGGTCTCACTACCTCCTTGCTTTCTACCCTCTTGTCTCTGCCTATCCTTCTTTCTCTTCACTTCTTTTATACCTTCTCCTTTTCCCACCAGCTCCACCCTCTTAGTTGTTCTCTTCCCTGGCTTTCTTGCTCTTTCAATAAAATCATTCTTCTCAACGTGGTGGTTGGTCAACCCTATATCTGGCTCTCTTATGGAGGAAGGAGGTGGCACACAGACAGGGAAAGTCTCATCCCTATCTGCTTTCTCATACAGTGAAACATAGTTCTTAGGATCATTGTGGAAACTTTTAAAAAAAGAAAACTGTTCTTTTCTGTGAGGTTATGTGTCCCTCTTTTGAGTCCATCTGAGATTCCCATAGTTCAGTTTTCCTAAGGGATAGATTCTTCTTAAAATTAATGTGCTAGAGAAGTTCAACAATACCTTGTAAAAATTTACAACAGTATGAGCTATATATTCACTTTCACAAGCATATTTCTTTATTCTAGTGTTTTTAAAATGCTATGCCTGGAGCGGCAAAAATGATTATGTAAAATCATTAAGACTGAAAGCCTGTTGAATTTAATGGCATACTCTGGAGTTTAAATCAAATGTCTTGCTTCTAAGGCACTTACATGTTTGTGTTCTCCTACTGATGGTTCTTTTCATGTTTTATTTCCCTCACCCTCAAGGTCTATATCGGTTTCAATTACAAAATCACTCATTTTCTTAGGAACATTTAACTCTTTTCGGCCAAGTGCATAGGCTCAAAGATTAAAAAAAGAAAGAAAGAAAAAGGTACAGGTATCTAAATGCCCATAGGATTATCTCAGATTTTAGAATAAACATTTTAAAAATAAATTTGCCATGATTTAAAATTGTACTTAGATAGATAGTTAAAATAAAGATATATATTTCTACAAGTAAATATTTTTTCTTACTATAATCACACTATATATGCTGAGTAATGATGTGTTTCCGAATGCTTTGTTAATGTGAACTGAGACAGTAAATCCAAGAAATAGATATATCTTTATGGGGTTTTCCTGCCATAATTGACATTTCTTTTATACTTCTAATTTGAAGCCAAATTGGAAGATGGTATACTGAATCTGTTTTTCTTATACAATCATTGCAGTATTGAGTGCAAAGGTACCTTGCGTCCCAGTTTGGAGAGAAAAGTGGAACATAAATCCAGTAGATTAAATAAAATAAATCACTTACATTCTCTTCCTCTTCTGTATTTTTTTGATTCTCCGCTTCCTTGATTAGATCTTCTAAAATATTATTGTGTTTGGGGCATGGATGAGAAGGACAAGAAGACCTTCTCTAGTTAGATACTGTAGTTTGTTAATTAGAAAGCCCTTTATTCATTCCCTATTATTTTGTCTACACAACCAGTAGAATAAGGAAGAAACAGCATGAATTGTGCCATTTCAGGCTGCAAGTGAAGAAGCTCCACCTCCCTTTCAGGGGTAAGGGCTGGGAAATTTGTGACCCTTCATATGTTCTCTAGCCATTCTGGAAAAAAGTGAGAGTTAGAACGTGGCAGTGGATTTTCAGTTCACTAGTTTCTGGAGACCACGAGTCTCCATTCCAGTTTTAGGATATTATTCCTTAGAGCAGTGACTCCCAACCTTGAGTCTGTTCTTGGACTACAGCTCAAAGAAATCCTGGCCAGCACAGCTAGTTGTGAAGACTTCTGGGAGTTGTAGTCCAGGAACATCTGGGAACTCAAGGTTGGGAAACACTGCTGTAGAGGGGAAAGAAATATTTAGGGTAATTATCCCCCCTCAAAAAATGTTTCCCATGTTATCATATGTTTATACACAGAGACTTCTCACTCACAACTGATGAGACAGATTTTTTTTTGGTATATGAACATTCCAGGTATTGGTGAATTAACATCTGTAGAACAGAAGTGGCAGTGGGATTTCACATTTGTAAAAAAACATTTTTTCCGCACTTCTGTTATGAGCCAATTTAATTTGACAAGCTTAGCTGAAAATAACTACAGTTCATAAATTCTCAGTGCATTTGTAGCAAAGGGCTTGCACATGGCCTTTGATGTGTTAGTGTATTATAGCAGTAAAGTACAGTTGTATACAGCTATAACAGAGAGGTGGGTTTTCCTGTTCCATAGTATTTATGCTTTTTTTTCTGTAAAGCCATTGACTGAAAAGTTGGGTAGAAAACAACTATTTCTGGAGATTAATCTTGGACTTCTAAACACATTGACAGTAAATCCCTTTGAACACAGACTACAGAGCAAACGTTTCTGTTAGACCCCACATGACATTATTCATGTGGAATTAACCTTTGATATTGTCTTTGATTTACCTGGAGCAGCCAGCCGAGCTGCAATTCTATTGAGATTCCAGCTCTTAGGAGCCGGAAAGCGCATCTTATTCTTTTAGTTTCTAATGGTTTTCTCTTCTAGATTGGCCGCCTTAATTACTTTAGCTACAGGGGAGGAGATGGAGGAGAATTTCATTTTACATTCAATACTATTTCCCTTTTAATACTAATGACCTTTTAATGCTAATGCCCTCAAATTGGTGAATAACTTCATATTTGGAATGGAAATAATTTAGGAGGGGAAAAATATGGGAGAAAGCACCAGTTTTTAAATTGGAAGTGGGAAAGGAAGTCAATGTGTGTGTGTGTGTGTGTGAGAGAGAGAGAGAGAGAGTGAGTGAGTGAGTGAGAGAGAGTAAACTACCCAGATATTGCTTTAAGCACTGTGGGTTAAGAATGAATAAATGAAGAATGAGATGGGGAGCCCCATTTAGGTAACTCAGTTCACTGGAGGGGGGGGAGAATGTGGAGCCTGCATAATTAAATTGTAAACTACCCAGATATTGCTTTAAGCACTGTGGGTTGATACATAAGCAGCACACTTTGCTTTACTTTTGCTTTTTCTCCAAGGAGAGAGACGATGAAGGGAACTATTTTGGGAAACTATTGATCTAAATGCAATACAGTGGTGCCTCACTTAACGATGTTAATTCGTTCCAGCAAAAGCGCTGTAGAGCGAAACATCGTAAAGCGAAATAAAAAAGCCAATTGAAATGCATTGAAACCTGTTCAATGCATTCCAATGGGCTGAAAACTCACTGTCCAGCAAAGATCCTCCATAGGGGTGGCCATTTTCACTGCCTGTGCAGCGAGGAATCCGTCCCTAAGCACAGTGGGGGGCCATTTTCTTCAGCTGGTGGCCATTTTTAAACCCAATGACCAGCTGTTTTTGATCATCATCAAAATGAAAATTGGTTCCCGAAGCAAAGCGGAAAACAAAACGAAAATTGGTTCCCGAAGCAAAGCGGAAAAACACCATTCAAACCAAAAACATCGTTGTGAAGCGGATTCGTCATTATACGGGGTAATCGTAAAGCAGGGCACGACTGCATTCTGTCTCTGATGCTGAAATCTAGCCAACCTGAAGAGGAAAGAGTATTCCATACATTATTGCAACGAAGCACACTTCAGGAATCCATGGCCCTTCCAGGATTTCTCCACATGACCTCAATGACCAAATTCATCTATAAGTGAGAAGGTGGTCTGAGTCTCAGACCTTGAGCGCTTGTGAAGTTAGTACAAGCACTCTCCTCCATGTTTTCCATCCCCTTTGTCCTTCTCTGTTATGATTTTTCTGTGATACTATCAATAATGAGTAGACATGGTCTAGAGGGGCGGGGTATAAATTTAATAAATAAATAAATAAAGAAGCAAGCAAACAAACAAACAAACAAACAAATAAATAAATAAATAAATAAACCCATACCTGATTAAATGCCTTCTGATTTAGCAATCTCATCTTCTAAATAAATAAAGCAGACAGTTCCTGTAAAGAGTTGTCATCCCCATTACTGGTCGAACTCTATGAAGTGCAGCCCCAGAGAATGTTAAGTTTGTTGCTCAAAATGTTCTTGAGTGAGAGACCCAGTATGGTTGCCTTCCCTCCCCATCAGATTAGCTAAACGGGCACCTTATGAAATGTTCTGGAAACCTTTGCAAAATGCGGTGGCCTTGAAGGAAGTAAGTTTAAAAATAACCCTTGTCAGATAAAGAGTACACGTTTTTAAGCTCATGTTTCAAAACTGGTTGGTAGTCCCAATTAGTGCCTACACACTGAATGAACATAATTCATGAAGTTCCCATGTGCGTTATGC